GTTGACCGCCGTTGTATACATGCTACTATAATAGGCCCAAGCCTACACACTATTTGTCACTTTGTAGCTATATATATGGCCTAGCTACCCGGAATGAGAGCACTTGGTTTTACTCCTGCGTCAAGACTTTGTTCCACGATATGATACATACTTGCAGCTGGATTATGTTAGGGAACCTTACTCTTAACCTTCATAAGAGACAGCCCCGCACGCTGCAACCTTTAGTTCTCTGACTCGGAGCCCATTTTGCTAACTATTTGCATGATACATGGTATGAAGATACTGTGAGGGAAAAGGCTATTCCTACTTTCCATCGGAGCGACACTCGTTACACAATAGACTATAGTTTTGGGCATGTGTCTTTTCGACCTCGCTTGGCTAACACCGGAATAATGCATTTATCTCCATGTTGTACTTGCCGCTCATTCTTAACCGTCGACCTAGCAATCCAAGACCATGCCCCTAGTTATGGCACATGGCGCTTTAATTCTTTTCTCTCTCTAAAATTCCGGATTTCGACGTCTTCTACGTACTACATTTGACAAGTTATTTTACTTCCAGTGTAGTGGTTTGACTCCACAGGTTCAGTGGAATTTTTTCTTTAAAAAAAGAGTCATTAAACTTACTGCTCAAGAATATGATAAACAAGCATCCCGTACACATCAGAGAACCACTAATAGTCACCAAACACAACGTGTGACAGTCCCACGTCTATCACACAGTGAGGATCGACGGATCGAATCAGAAAATATTGATTATGAAACTGTACCTGCCATTGAAGAAAGACATAGATACCTTTTCCTCTGGTCCAACACCCCTCGATTGGAAAATGATGAGCAGAGGAAGAAGTATTTCTTCAAAGTATTCTGTCAAAGACTGATTTCTGATAATGGATGGACTATCCGAATACTGATGACGTACCTCAAGGCTTTGGCCTTCTCATCATCGACACTAGGTGCTCAATTTGAACAAGAAAGGGCTTACAATAGAATGCATCCGACTTAGATCAAACAAGTACTGCAAGCATTTGGATTTCCGGACCAGTTAGTATCTTCTATCTACTCTCTTTTATTTTAAACCCAGATTCATGTATAAATCAATGGGTGGTCAGTCACCGCGCTTCCCCAACAACAAGAATTGAGGCAAGGTGATCCGTTTTTGTCAATGCTTTTCAACCTGGCAATTAAATCCTTGCTCCGCCGTATAATCATTGGCCCTAATTTATTGGGCTGCTCGATCCTACACCAAACTGGTAGATATCATGTCGCTCATTGCCCATCGATACGTAATGTCCCACAGTAAGAAAGTCCTTCCCTCAAACATCTAGCTTATGCAGATGATCTTTTGATTTTTTCCAGGGGTCTAGAAGAGTAGCCTACTTTGATTGAACAAGAAGAATCTATGGTCTGGCCTCTAACGCCCATATTAACCCGCAAAAAAGCTCAGGCCTTATCTCTGATAAGTATTAACCACCTTAGTTGATAACCACTTTGAGACGAGGAAAGCATCCCATGGCATGACGAAGATACACCAACGGCACTGATGTACTTGGGCTACCCTTTGTACAGTCACCCGCGATAACGTGACAGTTTTCTAAAGGGGATCTTTTGCAAAACGGAAAAGTTTGTCAACATACTTTGGCTAAGACGAATATCTATTAGAGGAAAATCTATTATATCAAATTTATAGCTGCTTGCAAGACTCTGATATTTCCTGTGCGTGACTATTGTGCCTAATTATTGTCTGCGGAAGTTTCAGATGGTCATCCGATCGTATGTTCTATACTTCTTTCTGCGATCTGCTGGATGGGCACTTAATTGACACAGTAACCAGGGCAGTTTCCGAGGGATATATGCTTTTCATCAATCCTCAGCTTTACACTTTGTGTACATACAACGACTAATTTGGTACAGAACGTTTTGGCGTGGGACAATCGTTTGTCTTGTCTTTGCTAGAAAATCCTATCATAATATACACGTTAACTCACAGTTACATCCATCCTTTTGTCCCCTGACCGATATCATTATTGTTTATTCTACAACTTTCTATACACCCAATTGTAAAGTCAGATGATTCTTCTTGGTTTTTGAGGGCAGAGGCAAGATATATTGTATCTGATATAATGATGGGACACAGAGGCATGTCAACTGCTCCCGGAGACACCCACAGCAAGTACTCGATTATATACAATAGCGTGCCGAGCCGGATTGACTAATGGTTTGCTGGTTATGAGCTCGAATATGCGAGCCCATTTTAAGTGCCAACAGAGAGAATACCCAGGGGGATATCGATTTATCTTCTTTGGTTTTATTGTGGGCGATCCATGGTCAACCTGTGGTAGACGCAAAAAAAAAACAATATGATTTGGTGCTACTGAAACGCTGAGATCACAAAGACTTACGGATCCCCCATACACAGCTTGGCGGTGTTTATTAATTGATTCAACCTCGACTTGGTCTCGACTTGATCACATTATATGTGAAAAGTTCCCTTCTCCCAATTGAACTGTATGCGATTTGGATATGAAAGATGGCCGGAATTTCTGGATTTCATGTCATATGAAGTAGGTCTTCTGGTGATAAGCGCTGGAAAAATACAAGATCCCGCAACTAGCCTAGAGTCAGAAACGTTTTGTGGTTATATATCACACTGACACATCCCCGATCTGAAACTGGGACGTCAGTACTTGCAAAATACTAGAGATACTAGGCTTTTTCCTCCTGGCATTATGGCAGCACTCGCTGACGTTGTATATTCGACTGTAATACCTACGCCACATCAGCGATTATTGATTCCCTTAAAGGCAACCATGATAGATATGGCCCTTTGGCTTTTCGTCTGCTTTATAATTCTTGTTACAATCTTCCCTCCTCTTTCCCTGTAATAATTCTACAAATTAATTTAGCTTCAGTTCAATAGTAAAATAAATACAACACACATATTTAAATAGACATCTTGTTGACTACGGTTACTGGGTAACCCAAGACCGGTCAGAAATAAAAACTTGTACAAAAAAATTGCCTTTTTCTTAGTGCTTCTGACTCTGCACTGTTTGTATAGGACGCCAAAAATAGAGGGAAAGTAGCAGTGAGTCAAGTCGAGTGACTTGAGAGTTGAAGGATTTTTAAAGGTATAAAGAATAAAGAAAGAGAATAATAGTTAATGTAACTTTTATGAATTAATGTTAACGAAATTATTTTCTAGTCGAAAAAGAAAATGAATGCCAAATTGATGCCTATTTTCTGCACAGACTGGTATTTTCTATAGCCATAGTGGCGGCTTTAAGAAGGCTAATGATTAAACCACAAAAGATTTAAAATTCTTTTATCCCCAAAAAAGCTTCAGATTATTATGCTACCCTTTTTCATTACTTAGTCATTCCTAGGTCCATATATCATTTTATAGATATCGCATTAGCTTTTTTTTGTCTGGTAGCTCGGGTACGTTCCTTGTTATCTTCTACTGTGAATCTCTTTTTAACAAAATCAAGACAACAGAAAAAGGTAATAGTAAAACAACAGCCAACCATATTATTATTATAGACAAACTTAGTGGCAAGAAAATGAATACTGGTGGAAAGACAATTTTAGTAAAGAACAAATTAAGGAGAGCTAGTTAACTACGTTGGGTCATTTTTACAGCTACACCACCACTTCAAAGTTGATTTTAATGAGCGATATCAAAAGAAATCCCGCCGTGCTATAGTAAACTGAATGAATGTCTCATTAGAAAATACACCTTGTCTACCTTACCAAGGAACACAAGTATAATAAGACAGCTCTCAAGTGTAATATAGTAGTACCAAAAACATTATTAATAATATTTTTTAAAGACAAATTTAAGATCAAAATCAAAGAGACAAAACATAATGATAATATCAAAGTCAAATGAGATCAAAATTTATTGTTCAAATTTTTATAAGGGGAATATAAGTTAGGTTAAATTAAATTAAGTATACTAAGATATTCCAGGCCATGCTAGTCCAGTCGAGTCCAGTCGGTTCCAGTCAAGTCCAGTCGGTTTTTTTTTTGGTCCATTTGATTTTTCTTTTGATCTTTTTTTTTGTCCGTTTTTTTTTCTTCTTTTTTTTTGTCCAGTCAATATAAGCTAAGAGTGATAGGAGGAGGAGGAGGATTTTGGTATTGAAAAATAATAAAGGGGATAATTTGGACTTTTTGTTTTTTTTGTTTTTTTGATTCTTTTTTTGATTCTTTTTTTTTTGTCCAGTCAATTTCACGGAATAGTAATAAGAGGATGATTTTGATATTGAAGAGAATAAAAAAGATAATTTGGACTTTTTTTTTTTTTTTTTTTTTTTTTTTTGCTTTTTTTTTTGGCCAAACCCAGCACACATAATAAAGGGGGATAATTTGGACTTTTTGATTTTTTTTTTGATTTTTTTTTTTTAATTTTTTTTTTGGCCGAACACAGCACACATAGTAAAGGGGATAATTTGGACTTTTTGATTTTGATTTTGATTTTTGATTTTGATTTTTTTTTTTGATTTTTTTTTTACTTCTTTTTTTTTGTCCAGTCAATTTCACATAATAGTAATAAGAGAAGGGGGTTTCGATATTGAAAAGAATAAGAGAAGGGGGTTTTGGTATTGCTCTTTTTGCTCTTTCTGTTTTTTTTTGAGCTTCTTTTTTTGAGCATTTTTTTTTGTTTTTTGTTTTTGATCAAAGACTTCATTTGCTTTGTATGTGTATATGTAAAAAGGGATTTCATACCTTGTCTTAATCCAGAGTCTTGTTCCAGTTCGCAGCTTTGCTTCAATCCAGGTCCAGGTTCCAATGCAGAGTTCTTCCGGTTTGTTCATCTTTTTTTGCTTTTTTTTTGCTTTTTTTTTTTTGCTTTTTTTTTGCTTTTTTTTTTGCTTTTTTTTTTGCTTTTTTTTTTTGCTTTTTTTTTGTTTTTTTTTTGTTTTGTTTTTTTTTGAGAGAGAGAGGAGGGCTTAGTATAGGCCTCAGGGTCGGATTTCTTTTGATCCTTTTGGAGTGGAGGACTTAATGTGCCTGATCATTTCTGATAGGCTTTGGTCTACGCCTCGGTTTTTGGATTTGATCCTTTTGGAGTGGAGGACTTAATGTGCCTGATCATTTCTGATAGGTTTTGGTCTACGCCTCGGTTTTTGGATTTGATCCTTTTGAAGTGGAGGACTTAGTATATGCCTCAAGTTCGGATTTGGTTTTTGATTTTTGGTTTTTGATTTTTGATTTTTGGTTTTTGGTTTTTTTTTTGGAACTTGCTTTTGGAATTTTGCATTGGACCCCTTCTTGGAAATCGACTTGGCCTTGAGACTTGGAGGTACAACCCAGATTTTGGACTTTGATAGAAATGCGCCTCTACTTTTGTATGTATATATGTATGTATATAAGTGTGTATATGTATGTTTGTATGACTATGACTATGACTATGACTATGTGTATGTGTGTGTGTATTTGTGTGTGTGTATTTGTGTGTGTGTGTGTGTGTGTGTGTGTGTGTGTGTGTGTGTGTGTGTGTGTATAAGAAAGAAATAGAAAAATAGAAATTGTGTGTGTTTGTGTGTGTATGTATTTGTCTACTTCTCTAATTGTGTACTTCTCTATTTGTTTGTATATGTTTGTGTGCTAGGACTAGTACTAGAACAGTACTTGGACAGTTTTTGGACATTTGGACTTGGACTTGGACAAGACTTGGAATTGGATTTGGACTTGGACTTGGACATAGCAATGGACCTTGGCTTGACTATTTTGGAGATTGTACTAGTGACTATGGGGTTTGATCTGAGATAGAGAGATAATTGTGAGCACAATTTTTTCTGGTCAATATTGTTCTGGTTGTTTTTCTTTTCTTTTTTCTTTTCTTTTTTTTTTGTATCTTTTCATTTTCTTTTTATATATTTTTTTCTCTTTTTCTTCTTTTCTTTTTTGACTATCTATCTTGATTTGGCTTTGAATCTTGACAGTGACCTTGAGGGTCTCTGAAAAGCCTTTTTTTCTCTGGTGCGCATTTGGAGCCTG